GTCAGGATATCATTTCTTAACTTGTACACTCAGTTTTTGTGCCAGGTACTGTTCAGGCCTGAGGACACAAGTGAAAGGACTCAAAGTCCCTGTCCTCATGGAGTGTGTGTTGCAGTAGGATAGACAGGCAATAAATGATCACATGATGTTGGGTGGTGGCAAGCATGAGTGAGGGGAAGAAGACCTATTTTAGATAGCATGGTCAGGGAGGACTTCTCGGAGGAGGTGACATGGGCAGAGATGTGAAGAAACAATCCGAGGTCTGGAGTCAGAGGTTCTTTCCAGGCAGGAGCCAGCTCAGGCAGTTTGGGGAACAGGAAGAAAGAGAACTGCTTCTGAAGTTCACTTCTACCCTGGCATCCTGGGATTCTGTCCTGAGTATTTCTTTTAAAAAAAGAAATAAATGCATAAAGAAGAATAAAATACAGTCAGCCCTCTGTATCGATGAGTTCTGCATCTGCAGATTCAACCGACCAGGGATTGAAAATATTCCGGAAAAACAAAAACACAACAGTTTAAAATAATACAAATTAAAAAATACAGTATAACAACTATTTACATAGCATTTACACTGTATTAGGTATTGTAAGTAATCTAGAGATGATGTAAAGTCCACAGCAGGAGGTGTGTCGGTTGTATGCAAATACTGTGCCATTTTATATCAGAGTCTTGAGCATCCATGATTTTGTTATCCACAGGCTTCCTGGAGCCTATCCCCTGGGGATGCTGACAGATGACTGTAATGTACTTAGGTTATAAATAATTAATCTGATGTAGCTACCACCAGGCTTAAGAACTAGGACATTACAGAACTTTCGAAACTCCTATGTGTCCCTCGATCCTCATCTCCCCTTCCCCCAGAAAGAGCTGCACTCTGAATTTTTCCTTGTCATCCTGTTCTTTTCCTTCTAGTATATACAAATAACATTTGTACATATTCATAAACAGTATGGTCTTCTTTGTTACACAGGTCCTTCTGCACTGTGCTTTTTCACATGTAACATTTGTGGGATGATACTGATGTTGGACCCGTGAAGTGTAGCTCACTTGTTCTCACTGTCCTATAGTATTCCATTATATGGATATATAGCGATAAATCTATTCAGTGATGGACATGTGGGTGATTTCCAGGTCTTGCCACTACAAACAATGTGGGGACATCCCTGTTTGTGTTTCTGAGTGTGCATGGAACATGCGTGCCCTTCCTGTGTGTTGCTGGGTGCTGACGAATGTACTTCAACTGCTGATCTGGTTTCTTTTTAATTTTACTATTAAAAAGGTTTTCTATTTTTTCTTGAGTCCGTTTTGGTAAATTATTTTTTCCTTAAAGTGTGCCTGTTTTCAAGGTTATTTGCATCAGGTCATTCAGAGTATTTTGTCATTGATATTTGTGCCTCAGCTTCCATTTCTAATATTACCCTTCTCTTTTTCTTGATCTCCCCTTGTCAGAAGTTTGGTAACTTTTTAAGTCTTTATTTTTTTTAATTTAAAAAATTTTAAAAGAACTAGCTTTTGGCTCTGAATTTTTTTAAATTGTTTATTGCTTCCTGTTTCATAAGTTTCTGTTCTTTCTCAGCTTCTTTCTACTGTCTTTAAGCTCCCTCCATTTTTCTAACTTCTTAAGTTAGATCTTACCAGTTTTCAACTCTTGTGTTTGAAAAGAGTATTTTGTTTTTTTTTTTACTTTCTTCTTTGAGTACTTATTTCTTTTCCATAACAAATTTTTTCTTTTCTTTTCTTTTCTTTTTTTTTAAAGATGACCGGTAAGGGGATCTTAGCCCTGGGCTTGGTGTTGTCAGCACCACGCTCAGCCAGTGAGCTAACCGGCCATCCCTATATAGGATCCAAACCCGTGTCCTTGGTGTTATCAGCACCGCACTCTCCCGAGTGAGCCACGGACCGGCCCTACGAATTTTTTTCTTACTTTTATATTTTCTAGGCATTGGGGATTGCCTTGGTGAGGCTGTTATAGGTGCTTGGTTTTTTCACTCGTTGAGAAATTGTGTGACTCTTTGTGGTTCAGGCCCAGGCTTTGTATGGTGGGAGAGGGGCCGTTTTGAGAATAAAAACTGACATTCACTATCTCAAAGAGCCCAGCCAAATGGGGAGGGATCTTCTCTGGCTTTTTCCTGCGTGGAAACCTGTGAGCAGGTGGAGTGACTGCTGAAGGGATGAGAACCCTCCTGGCCAGGAAACATCTGGGAGAATGTGTGTTTTCCTGGAGGGTGGCAGGTTGGGGGTGGGGGGGTTGAGAAACTTTATTTGGGCCTAGCTCTAAATTCTCCACACCGTCTTCACAGATTGAACTAATTGGGATTAAAAGTGAACTGTTCAGGCTAAGGCAGGGTTTTTGAACTAAGTGTCAAGTCTGCTTCACAAAGAGTTGGGGTATATGGTGAGGACCCTGTGACCCCTCTCTCCACCTGCAGTTCTAGCCAGGCCAGGGTTGCAGGAGAAGCACAGGCCCTGAGGCCATGGACTCATGTGCTTTTGGCCCCAAAGGCCCTGTAGTAGGTTAAGCTTAAAAGCAATTGTCTCCTGTGTGCTCAGCACTCTACAGTTTACAGAGCCCTGTCTCAATCCTTGGCTCATTTCTTCCCTCTTGCCTGCCTGTGGCCAGTGGGGATCATAGTCCCAGCCTGTAGATGAGGAGTTCGAGGCACTGAGAGATTTGGCAACTGGCCCCCAGTGGATGGCGGTGGCTGATGGTGACCTGGACACTTCACATGTGTCATCCTACTGGGTTCCCCGACACCCTGCCCAGCACATCATTTACAAGTGAAGAAGCTGAACCCCAAGGAGGTGAAGTGTTTGCTTAAGTCACACAGCATGAGTGGCACAGCCCATATCCCCACCCTGGGGCACTTTGCAGAGGGGGAACCCCGAAAGCTCCAGGAGGAGTGGGAGGACACCTGGCTCCAACGGATCCCAAAATATTGTGTATGTTTACTTGGTGAGTGTGCAGACAGTGCAAGCGTTTGGCCAGATGTGGGCTTTGGAGGGAATGAAATACTGCAGGCTCACCCCTCAAGGGCCTAGCAAGGAAGGCTTCAGGTCCACTGCTGTTTCCACTTTTCAGCTTTCAGTGTCACCTCATGGCTGACCTTCTTCCTCTGTCTGCGTCCACTCTGTCTGGGCCTGGGCATACCTTTGCCGAGTGCAGAAGATGCCTGTGCCACACTCTTTCTCCCTGGAGCCTCTTCCTGGTGGCGGGGGGGAATGTCGTCCTGGGGTCACAAGGTGGACGGGCAGGTGGAGCCCCTGCACCTGCTTTACTTCTTTCTCCTTGGAGCAGTTTGGCCCACTGTCCACCCACATCCTTCTCCCGCTGTCGCTTCCTCCTAGTGTGGCCATGACTTTTGAAACGGAGTTCCTCAGGGATGGGCTGCCCTTGGAGGTAGGAAGGGCAAGAGGTCAGCCTGACCAGTGTTAATTGGGTTGTCCTTCCAGTTGAAGTTGGCACTGGGAGCAAGGGATTAGCATCCCTGCCAGGCAGAAAAGGGTTTCTCGTTTACATGTCCTCACCTCCCTCTTTCAGGTGTAGTGTCTTTTCCCCATGACCAGGAGTTCATAGAAATGGTTAAGTATGAGATAATTGTGTGCTGGGAATGTGGATACTAAACCAGCATGGACAGTTCTGGATTTCTGTACTAACGCCTCTGCGCTGGGAGTGACTCACCTCTAACCCAGTGGGGGCGCCAACTGGAAGGGGAGAAGGGAAGCTGGCGTGAACCCCTTATGTTGCATGTGCCCTTGGGTTTGGCATCAGGCATGCTTTAGTGTGAAGAACCTCAAAGAGCAGTGTCAGAGGGCCGAGCTAAGCTGCATGGGGTGGGGGGGCAGCAGCCAGGAAGCATGTGCCCCAAAGCTGACATCTTAATACAGCTGTGTGGACCACAGGGCTTCGGGGCTAGCCAGGCATTGCACCATGGGAGTCTAAAAGGGGGGGATCCTTGACTCCCCGCCCCAGGACTGGCAAGACAGGTTCTTGATTTTGTTTGCCTCTCAGCTCTTGTCTACAGGCAGAAGGGGTTTTTGTTTTTACATTATTGTAGCCATTGAAGAAGATGAGATTGTGTGTCTTGTTTTTAAAATTCTATATGAAAGCATGGTTCCAAGTTGCTGTGCCAGCCCTCTAAGTGCCCATTTAAAAAGCTAAGTAAGGGCCAGCCCGGTGGTGCACTTGGTAGAGTGCGGCGCTCCTGCCGAGGGTTCAGATCCCATATAGAGACCGGTCCGCTCACTGGTTGAGCGCGGTGCGGGCGCAATACCGAGGGTTGCAATCCCGTTGCCAGTCGCAGTACGGGCACGACACTGAGGGTTGCGATCCCATTACCGGTCACGAAAAAAGACAAAAAGGAAAAGATAAATAAATAAATAAATAAAAAGCTAAGTAGTAGCCCAGTGCTGAGATTGTAAAGCCCAAAGTCCGGTTTTCAGGCTACCAACCCCATATGGAGATGAGAGGTTTGTGGTAACTCTGTGAGCCTCAGTCCCTTACCCCTGCCCCAGGGTCTCAGAGGACCAGCGCCCTGGGGTGCAGGGAGGGCAGGGTGCCCCACAAGTGGGCGAAGTCCTGGGCAGCCTGTCGGGGTAGGCTCATTGGTCAGTCGTGGAGGTGCCATGACTCCTCAGCTGCTAAGGCCTTCGACCCTGCTAGGAGCACAAGGTGGGGACTGAGCTGCACCTGACACTAGCTGCCCCTAGACATAGCGCCGGCCTTGTGCTGGTTCTTCTGTGCTTGATCTCTCCTGGGCCCCTTCTTCCTTCTTACTCTAGTCCAGCCATGATTCTGACCATCTGAGATGGTGCCCCTGGGCAGGTATGACAACCCCCAACACCTGCTAACTGGCACGATCCCCAAGCCGTTGTCCCAGGAGACAGGAGCACCTGACTCCTTGGGACCTGCACCCCCAGCTCCCTGTACATGGGCCCAGGGTGAGCACTGGAGGTCAGGGCTCCAGGGCCACGATGCACGTGTCTTCTCTCCTGGGCCACAGACACCCCACGTCATGCTGCAGCGCTGCCGAGATCATGGCTGTTCTCTTTTTCCATACCATGCGCTACAAGTCCCAGGACCCCCGGAACCCTCACAATGACCGCTTCGTGCTCTCCAAGGTAAGAGCGCAGCTGCCCTTCGCCTGGGGCTGGGGTCACATAGCCCTGGAATGGTGAGCCGTCTCTGAGGAGACCTATCCGCACTCTAAGCCCAGCCTGGGCCCAACCCGGGCCCACCCCTCCCGGTGCCTTCACCCGCTTTCCCTGGCCCCTGCCTCAGTGTTGGCTCTGTGCTGACCCCGCTGGTTAAGGAATACATGGCTGAATCAGTGGGGTGCTCTTCCTGAGAGCCCAAGCACGTTAACAAGGCTCTAACCCAAGGGAATGGGGCAGGAGACAATGGAAACCATCTGTTGGATGATTTGCCCAATTTGGGTGTTGACAGGCAGGACTGGAATCTAGGTTTGGGGTTACAGCTTTGTGGCTTTCTGCCTGTGTCTTTCTGCCTGGCGCCGGCCCTCTCGGGGCTCTGGCCAGCTCCCTCAGGAGTGCTGGTACACTGCAGCAAGATTTTGGATGGGACACCCTGTCCTACCCCTCCCGGGTGAGAATTGCAGCCACAAACCCCTGAAATCCACCTGTACTCAGGCCTGGCTCAGTGGCCTCTGGTCTCTCGGGGCAGGCTTTTGAACTTAGAAGTTGGTCCAAGTCTGTCCGCATGCTAGCAGCCAGAGATTAGGGTGGCTGGCTGCCTGCTGGGGTTTTGGCCTCATCTGGTCTCGCAGCTGTGCCCCCTGCACCTGTCTTAGTGCATGCCCAGCCTTAGCTGTGGGAATTGTGGGCTGAAAACCAGGAGGCTGGAGAGGGATGAAAGGGGAGAAGTAGCCTTCACTTGCTTCCCTCCTGAAATGGATACCCAGGCTGGCCGGCTCGGCTAGGCCGCAGGGTTCAATGTGCAGTGGGAACAGCCCCAAATATCAGATCCCCATCTGACTCTCTCTACTGCCATCTCCCGGCAGGGCCACGCAGCTCCCATCCTGTACGCAGTCTGGGCTGAAGCTGGCTTCCTGCCCGAGGCAGAGCTGCTGAACCTGAGGAAGATCAGCTCTGATCTGGACGGGCACCCTGTCCCGGTAAGCACACATGCCAGGAGTCTCCCTGGCATGCAGGAAGGGGACAAGGGGACTGCCCACTGAGAAGCTGAAGGTGTGGAGAGGCAGAGGAGGGCATTGAGGGGAGGAAAAAAGGAGCCAGCGTTTTCGTGCACGTCATATTCACCCCTAGCTAGTGGTGAAGGGCAGGGCCTTTTGAGGCCCAGCCAAGGGTATTCTGGGTCGACTTCAGGGAGGGCATCTCCCCAAGCTTTCCTTCCCCACTGGACCCCCTGGCCAGATAGAACAGCTCGGGAAGAGAGGTTCACTGGGGAATCCATAAGGGGTGGCAGCAGGATGCTGGTTGTGCCCAGGGAAGGGACCTAGTTTTCTCCTAAGGGTGCCAGCTGGCATTCTTGCAAATGTTTGCAGTTCATGGGTACCACGAAAACTGTCACCATGGTCTGGGTACCCACCAGGGCCAAATGTTCTATGTCAATTTTGTCATGAGTTCTCCCAGCCACTTTATGAGGTGGATGAGGTGGGAACTGAGGCCAAGAGAGGTTTAGTCCTTGGCTTGTAGCCATACAGCTCACTAGTGGGCAGAGGTGGGATTTGAACCCACATGCCCACCACCACTTAGTACAGTAGTCCCCCCTTATCCGAGGTTTCACCTTCCACAGTTTCAGTTACCGACGGCCAACCACGGTCCAAAACTATTAGATGAAATAAACAATTCATAAGTTTTAAATTGTGCACTGATCCAAGTAGCGTGATGAAATCTGGTGCCATCCAGCTTGCTCCTGCCGGGGATTTGAATCATCCCTTTGTGCAGCCTATCCACCCTGTCTACACTACCTGCCTGTTGTCCCTCAGCATCAGTCTGGGTTATCAGATCAGCTGTCACTGTATCACAGTGCTTGTGTTCAAGTTGCCACATACTACTTAACAGTGGCCCCTAGCACAAGAGGTGACAATTCAGATATGCCTGAGAGAAGCTATAAAGTGCTTCCTTTAAGTGGAAAGGTGACCCCAGCGTTCCTTGGCTAGAGTTCCTGTTTGAGGCATCCATTGGGAGTCTTGCAGCATATCCCCAGGGATAAGGGGGGCTACAGTATGTGAATAAGAGGTAGCACCCTGGGGGAGGCTGCCCTGGGGCAGGGCCTTCTGCAGTGAGGGGCTCACTGGGCCTAGGTGGGGGTGTGGGACTGCCCTGGCTCCTGTGGCTGATGAGGCCAGGATCCCCCATGAGTGAGTAACTGTGCCCTCTGTTATGACAGAAACAAGCTTTCACTGACGTGGCCACTGGCTCCCTGGGCCAGGGTCTCGGGGCTGCTTGTGGGATGGCCTACACAGGCAAATACTTCGACAAAGCCAGGTAACACCCCTGCTTCCCACCCACATCCTCTATGGTTTCGGGAGGGGTCCTCGGTGGCCCGTGGTTCACCACCACCCCTGGCACCTCCTCTTGCCTGGCTGGAGCTAAGTAACATGTACGTGTGGCCTATTTTGTCCTCACAAAGACCCACCAAGAGCTATGGGACCTGCCTAGAATCCCTCAGTAGTGACTGGTGGGGCCGGGTTGACACCCAGAGCACATGCTCCTAACCATGTGCTCTTCAGCCAGAGCAGTTTGGCTGAGGAGCTCCTGTGTTGCCCCCAAGCCCAGTGCCTGGACCCCAAGAGAGTCAGAAGGACCCACCCCCGACCCCCATGTCTGACTAGGCATCAGGAGCCTGGACCTAAGCCAGCCTTTTATCTTGGGAAAGGGGAGGGTTATATGTTCTGGAGAGTTCTGGGGCACCCCTGAGCTACTCCTGTCAGCCTGGGAAGAAACAGACATTTGAGAGATTGAACCTGCAGAGGGTGGGTGAGCAGCCTGACCAGGTTTGTTGCTCCAGCACCAGGCAGTTTGCAGGAGAGCCCCCCACCGCCCCCGAGACAGATATCAGCCACAAGGCTGTCTGCTGACTCCAAATTTGGCTGGGGGGCAGGGGTTGCAGGCTGTTAAGAATTAACCGCTTGTCAGAGCATTTCCTTCATTCCTTTACCATTTGGGGGCCAGGCCCTGTGCTCGTACTCACGTGTTTTATTGAGTTTCACGTTGATGTGCCCTCTGTGAGCTGGGTAGTGGTATAAGCACAGCTGTTCCTCCTGCAGACGAGGAAGCCAAAGTAAGGTGCTTACCAAGGTCATTTGGTCAGTGATGGAGGCAAGGTTTGAACCCAGGTCGTGGATCCAGAGTCAATATTCAGAATCCCAGCTGCTCAGTGAGAGGCGGGAAGCTTCCTAGAGGAGAGCCCATGGAGCCTGGTCTGCAGCTGGTGGCTTCCCCACTGCCCTACAGTTGACCCCCATTCAGGAGAAGGGCTGCAGCGAGGGCTTCCATGGGGCTGGCAGGCAAGTGGGGTGTGAGGGTGACTGTGGGCCCTCTGAGGACAGATGGCTGCAGGGAGCACCTACTGTGTGCAAGCCCTTCCCCAGGTGAAGGTGCTCCTGAGACAGGAGGCCTCACAGCTCCTTCCAAACCCCCTCAGGGCAGCGTCACCTGTCAGCACAGCGTTTGCTTTCAGTCCCTGGTTGAGCTTTGGGCCAGGCTCAGCTACACCCAGAAGCGATTCACCATGAAGTAAAGAGAGAGAGTCCCAAAGAATGGGATGTATGTTTAAGAGCATTTTACTTGGCACAGAACCAGAGATGTGAGATAATTATTCCCTACATTTGCTTGAAATAATTCCCTATGAAAGGTCATTTCCTGACCCAAACATAATGGAACAAGCCAGTGTAGGGAGAAGGGGTTTAGCTGGGTTCCCAGAGGCCAAGTGGCTTGAGGCCAGGGTTGGCAGAGTCCTAGGTCCTTGAACTGTACCCGGGGGAGGGGGCCACGGTTATTGGGTGAACCAGGCACATGGCAGTGGCGTCCTGACAGAGCAGATCAGGCTCCATCACCATTTCTCTCTGCCATCTCATTTGAAAAATATAGTGTTATTAAAAAGAAATGAACACTTGCCTTATTCTTAACACCCCCCTATTTAAGTCTAACTATATTGTATTTCCTCCATGTTATGGAAGAAAACTTACAAACTTGTAAACCTGTAATACTTTATATTCAGCTTTTTAAAGAAACTAAACATTGTATCATGAGAATTTTCTCACCAAGTTAACTGTTGAGAGCTAGTTTTGTTTGTTTGTTTGTTTTTGTTTTGGGGGGGGTGGGTTTTTTGTCCTTTTTGTGACCGGTAAGGGGATCGCAACCCTTGGCCTGATGTCACCCGCACCGCGCTCAGCCAGTGAGTGCACTGGCTATCCCTGTATAGGATCCAAACCCACGGTGGGAGCGCCACTGTGCTCCCAGCGCCGCACTCTCCCGAGTGCGCCACGGGGCCGGCCCTTGAGAGCTAGTTTTAATGATTGCAATAATGTTTTGTTTTTGGACATGCTGTAACTCATTTAGCCAGTCCTCCATTGGAAATGTAAGGTGGTTTCCCAACAGTTCTGCAACAGCCTTGACCTCCTATTTAAGGGTCCTTCTCTTCATGTTCCTGACTGGACATTTGCAGCCCCCCACCCCTAAGTCTAACAGCTCAGGCAATAGAACACAAAGCCTCAGGGTTATCCCAGGCTTCCGTAGGCCCCTTTGCTGTTCACAGGCACTTCTCTGGAGTCTCCTTGGGATGCCCTCCTGACCTGAGGCTATTGGCCCTCATGGCCAGTCTTGTTCCCAGTCTTGAAGCCCAGAGCTATGCTGGGCCTGCACTCTTAGCTGCAGTTCCACTTCCCTGGAATTGGTTGTGGGCTTGGAACAGCAGCCAGTCTACTTCCCTGGAATCCCTTTCTGGGGAAGTCAAGTTCTTTACAGGCCTCTGGCTCAGCCCCACCAGATGGTGGTCCTTTTCAGAGCTGCTGTGCCAGACCTGGGCCCCCTCACAACCTGCAGCGGAGAGAGAGGAGACAAGCTTGGGGACAGGCCTCAGTTTCAGAAAAGCCCGGGGCCTCTTTTTAGTGTGGGCTCTGAGACCTTGTCCTCCTGGCCAGCGAACAAGTGGCTGGCCTGGTGGAGGCCGCAGAAGAGAAGCAACAGGCAGCAAGAGGCTGCAGGGCACCCTCCCTGGCCTGGTGGACTGTGGAAGTGCTGAGTCATGCTGACAGCTGCATGGCTTCCTGTCCCAGCCTCTTCCTCCTGCCTCCCTGCTCGGCCCTACCGCAAGGAGACCTGGAGGCCCGGACTGCTGAGCCTGTGGCTGGGCCGGGGGCCTTTTCCTGCAGCAGGAGGGCAGCTGTGTCCCCTCTGAGCCTGACCAGGCACCAGCCTCATTCCCCAGGGCTGGGGTCAGAGTCCCTGAATTGGTCTCCCTTTGCTCTGCACTCCCCTGGGGCCAGGAAAGGTTCCGTTTGCTGGGTAATTTATCCCCAGTTCAGTTCTCTTTTTACCATGTCATGCTGCCTTTGAAAAGATCGTGGTTGCCTATGTTGAGGGGAGGAGAAGGCCCTTGCGGGGGTGAAGGGGCCAGGCCCCCTACAGTATTGGGAGCAAGGCCAGCCGTGAGCCCCAGGAAGAGCCCATCCTGTGAGGCTTCTGGTCCTCAGGCCCTCAGCAGTGCTCATCCTCCCACCTGCAGCCTCTTGCTCCAGGATGCTGCCTGGTGTGCATCACGGCCTCCCCAGCCCAGCTCCTCCAAGTACAAGAGGAGGTGGTTCCCAAGGCTCCCATTCCCCCCACAGCTCTCCCACATTCCTGTTCTTGTGGGGGCTCACCAGGTGGTGCACATTCATCCATACTTCCTCATTTTCCTCTCGCTCCAACAATGCCTGTTTTTCTGATCTTATGGCCAGACCCTTTTCATCTTAGTATGGGGGCTCACCAGGTGGTGCACATTCATCCATACTTCCTCATTTTCCTCTCGCTCCAACAACGCCTGTTTTTCTGATCTTATGGCCAGACCCTTTTCATCTTAGTGCTCTGTCTCTTCACAGCCAGTGCTTCTTTCTGGGGCTCCTGACAGCCTCCTGCACAGCCATTTGTCATAGGGTGTGGACGTGGGTTGGGGGTGCGATTGCCCCTTCCATGCAAATGCTGTCTGCTCTGCACGTCCAAGGGTGGCTGTTCCTTTACCCAGAGAGCAGGCTCCGCAGGAGGGGAGGGATGGGAGCCTGACAGGTCAGATGAGGGGGACCAGCCTCTGACCCACCCTCTGTCCACAGCTACAGAGTCTACTGCTTGCTGGGAGATGGGGAGCTATCAGAGGGCTCTGTGTGGGAGGCCATGGCCTTTGCCGGCATCTATAAGCTGGACAACCTTGTTGCCGTTCTTGACATCAACCGCCTGGGCCAGAGTGACCCAACCCCGCTGCAGCACCAGGTGGACATCTACCAGAAGCGCTGCGAGGCCTTTGGGTACGTATGAGGTGGGGACTGAGCGTGATCACAGCATGGAGAGTCATCCATGATAGAAGCTTTGCAGATGCAGGAGCTGAGCCGGCAGGCTAATAAGCCCCATCTAAAGGCCTCTCTGCTTTAGTGTTTTGATTCATAGTTTTAAACATTGGGCTTTTGGACTTAGTGACACAGGTCACCCCCATGGCCTTGTGGACTGAGGCCTGGTTCTAAGCAAGTCTCTGTTTACGTGGTTGCGTGGCATGAAAATTCTGAGTTTCCACATATGTTATCTCACATGGCCTCAATTTGTTGCTGGGCGAGGAGGATGCGCAGGTGTGAACATGGCTAACCCGATGAGGCTGAAGAATGCCTGGCTTTGGGCCTCCTGTGCCCAGCCCCAGCCAGCCTGGGGAGGAGGAGTGGCTCCCTCTGTCCTAGGGAAGTGGGACATAGGGTTTCCAGACGTGCCCTTGGGTCGTGACAAATTTTGAATTCTGAGCCAAGGGTTACACAGTAGGCAGGTCAGTCTGGGTGAGTGTCAGCCAGAGGGTCTCTCACCTCGATGTCTCCATCCTCAGCCCCAAATACAAGCTGCTCTGCAGCTAGGACTGCAAGGAACCCAGAGCCCCAGGCTCCACACTGGCAGAGGAGCTGTGGAGTAGAGGCCTCTGGGCAGGGAGGCAAGTAGGACTGGGGCTGTGCAGGTCAGGCCTCCAAGGCGGCCCTCTGTAGATGAGTCCGGGCTGTGATGACACTGAACTGACGGGAACATCAAGGCTGCCCAGCAGTAACACAGCAGACTCAGGTCTGTCATTTCTGATGACTGACCTTATAAAGGGAGAGGATGAAGGGGGCAAGTATTTTCTCTGTTGAACAGATGAGGAAATAGCCACCCAAGGGCCTCCCCCAAACCACATTGGCCTGGGGACTTGGAGCATAACCCCAGCAGTGCCCCTGGGACCCGCGTCCACAACCTTGTGGCTCTGAAGCCAGATTCCTTGAGTCCTGGCTCCACCACTGACTTTGTGACCTCGGGCAGGTTACTCCACCTTCATGTCTGTTTTTGGGTCTGTGAGGCAGGGACAGCAACAGCACCCACCCCGTAGACTGTGAGGCTTTAATGGGTTAATATGTGTGGTGCTTGGCCCAGCGCCTGCACAGAGTGAACACTCAGCACATGTTAGCTGCTACTTTTATTACTATTATGGTGCCAGAAAGAGCCCCCAAAAGGGTTGCTTTTACAGAGAAAGGTTGTCCTGCCCCAGCTCCTTCTCCATATATGTTTGACAACATGATTCGTTTTATAAGAGTTTCCAGCACCACATCTAGCGTCTATGGAGTGATCGAATGTGTTCCCCAGACAAAAATTGGGCCAAAAAATTCATCAAGAGTCTAATAGACAGATTCCAAACCAGTGCGTCGTCCCCCGAACAGCTTTCAGTAGGAAATGAACAGATCAGGAATGCAAGAAACAATAAATGAACTAAGCTTGCAATTACTTATGAAAGAGGAGGGAATCTGTTCAAAGACAAACAAAAGGAAGTAAAATAATGTGGAAAAGAGAGAAAAGAAAAAATAAAACCCAAATTGGAAGCAGGAATGTTTTAGGCTCAGGTCGCAGCTGTGTGCTGGGCAGACCCTCAGATGCCCAGCCAGGCTTTGCCCTGGGAGGCTCCTCAGGGCACTCTGGTACCTAGCATTGCCCCTCACCCTCTGCCCCCTCTGTCCCCAGCTGGCACGCTGTCATCGTGGATGGACATAGCGTGGAGGAGCTGTGTAAGGCCTTTGGCCAGGTCAAGCACCAGCCAACAGCCATCATTGCCAAGACCTTCAAGGGCCGAGGGATCTCGGGTCTGTATGTGTGAGCCTCCCTCCCTCCCGCCACCCCCAGGACTGGGCCCTGTGACTGACTGAGGGAGTAGGTGGCTGCCCAGCTCTGAGACCCTTGTGTCTGGGAAAGTGCCAGCCCTTGGCTGGTCACTGAGAGCATTGGGCTCTGGTAATGGGAGCAGGGGGTGCTGTGTTCCCAGAGGTGACTCAGTCGTCCACATGGCTGAGTCAGGATTTGAACCCAGGTCAGGCTGGCTCATGAGGGGCACGTATAGCCAGGAGAGGGTAGGAGGGACTTGTGGAGGGCCTGTGGGTAAAGAGAACAGCGAGTAAGACAGTCCCCTAAACCCCCACCCTGGCTGGCACTTTGCAGAGCTGTCTGCTTTGAGCTGAAGATTCAACACAAACCCCCGGCGGAGCCTGGAAAGACCCAGGTTCCCCACTAGGCAGTGAGCAGGGTACTTCTTCAGCAATGGGACAGTGTGGGCTGAGAGCCCAGGAGTGTTTGGAAGGTGGGTCCTGCACCAGGCTTGAGTGATGCAGGCAAAGCCACTCCCTGGCACCCAAGTGTGGGATCCAGAGCCCTGGGCCTGGGATGGCCTACGCCCGTTTTAAAGATGGGAAAATGGGGCTAGCAGTGGTCAGGGACTTGCCCAAGGACAGAGGATGTCTGTGGCACTAGGGGGCCTGATTTGAGGCTCTGGGTTGACTTCTCTGTGCCAGATGCCCCCTGGCTACCCACCTGCCCGCCCCAGGGTCATGGCAGCATGGACTCGGTGTATGAGGACACTCTAAGAGATGGTGAGGCAGAGCCAGGAGGGGTGGACATCAAGGAGATGACTCTGGGATATTGTCATGGCCTCAGTGCTGCTACATGGCTCTGACCATCTAGATGTTTGTACTGGGTGCTGCCTGGGAGGGTTGGTCTGTCCTTGGCTTTGCCCAGGCCATGGTGATATTTGAAGTGACCTTGGGGGAGAGGGATGTTAAGCCTTGCTGGTCCCCACACAATGGGCATGCCTGGCTGCTTATAGACGCCACTCCACTGCTCACAGATTCAGCAGTGACTTGGCAGTACTCGCCCTGTTCTGAGCCTCAGCTTCCCCTTCTGATGGCCAGGGTCCCTCCCAACCCAGTGGCAAACTGAGTCTGCTGAGTCTGTGACTTCTACAGCAGACCCCTCTCTGTGCAGCCTTGCAGGGAGGGGACACAAGGGAGAAGGGGATGGGCGGCATGCTCAGCAGCACACATTTGCCATGCCCGTTCCCTTCCCACTCAGCTCTGACCTCCTGGAGGACCAGGCAGGATTTACTGAGTGGCGGGCTTGTGACTGTCCTGTTTACTACATCCCTCCTTTCCTTTCACTGCTGAGAGGGCTCCTCCCTGGTGAAGGGACAGGTGGAGGGCCGGGCTCCTTGGAGTAGCTTCCTGGCCCTCTGAGAGTTTCCGTCTTACCTGTCCCTCTGCCCTCCTGTGTCGTACCTGCAGGGGTAGAAGATAAGGAGTTTTGGCATGGGAAGCCCCTCCCCAAAAACATGGCAGATCAGATCATCCAGGAGATCTACAGCCAAATCCAGAGCAAAAAGAAGATCCTGGCAACGCCCCCGCAGGAGGATGCCCCCTCAGTGGACATCACCAACATTCGCATGCCCACCCCACCCAGCTACAAAGTTGGAGACAAAGTACAAAGTGGTGCATTACTTTTCTGGACTAGCTGGGGATGGGGCTGCCATGGTTCTCTGGCTCCCCGAGGCTGGTTGGCTAAGATGTGCCCTCTGGAGGCCTGGTACAGGGAGGAGAGGGATTATTTTAGAGTGAGGGAACCAGGTGTTGCTCCTGTCAGTTCCCTCATGAGAATAGCAGCTCTGCAATTATTTACCTACAGGGGCTCAAAGAGTTCAAGGGACTTGCCCTGCAAGCTATTGGCAGAACTGGGATCAAAGCCCAGGACTCCCAAGTCCTTGCATCCCTGGTCCATGAGGCCCCTTGGCCTGAGCCCAGGACTCCCACATAGTCTGGTAAAGACTAGGCAGGGTGGTCTTGGTCCAGGGCCCTCCCCTAGATGAACCCATCAGTGCAGGCTGCAGCAGGCTTTCTGACTCCCAGGCTCTCTGTATTCCATGCAAAGTGGGGTAGTGAGCTCACAGACTCTCTCACAGGGAGTGGGGAAATCGGGATTGTTAGGATATCTTTTGCAGCTCACATGGCTCACAGCTGGGCTATGAGGTTCCATACAGCAGGGCTGTGAGGTTATATGGAGCAAAGGGTTGCAGAGATGCCCAAGACATTCCCCATAGTCGTTGGCATCTTTACAGGAGCTGAAAGTTCCCACAGGTCCTATGTTGGGCTTCCTTTTTCCACCCCTGTTTTTATCCTTCTCCCTGAAAGCTGTGGCCCCCACAGGCAAGCAGGGCTCCAGGCTGCAGCTATGCACATGCCCTCAGAGGTACTCAGAGCTGTCCTCCCCACAGATAGCCACCCGCAAGGCCTATGGGCAGGCCCTAGCCAAGCTGGGCCATGCCAGTGACCGTGTCATCGCCCTGGATGGGGACACCAAGAATTCTACCTTCTCGGACATCTTCAAAAAGGAGCACCCTGACCGCTTCATTGAGTGCTACATTGCTGAGCAGAACATGGTGGGTGCCAGGAATGGGCTGATGGGCACAGGTCCAGCCACAGCTGCAGAGCTGAGGTCCAGGGGGCAGGGCTGAAGCCTTCCTGCTCCTGTAGGCAGCCACATTGGCAATGCCAGGTGCCTGCTGTGGGCCAGCCCAGGGAGACCACAGTAACAGCTAGGACCCAGCATTGACCCTTAGCCTTGAGTAGTCACAGTTCTGGAAAGGCTATGCCCAGGTTCAGATGTACTGGGTGAGTGTGCGAACAGGGGAGCTGAACGGGGCTGCAAGAGCACTCAGAAGACCTGCGTGTAGACCAGGCATGGTGGTAAGTGGGATCTCTCTGGGGTGAAGGGCCATCCAGGTGGCGGGCAGGTGCTGCCAGGAGGCTGAGCTGTGATGCGTTTACCAGCCAAGGTCTGCTGAGCCCCTGTTATGCACAAGGCCCTGGCCCCTGCCACCCTGGGGGGATGCAGAGATGAAGGAACTCTGGGCCCCTGACGTGCACAGTTGAAAGCAGCCTCTTGTCAGGAACTGAGGTTGTGAAATGAGAAACACTGTCACGTCCTGTTTTTCAAAATATCCCCTCCTCGTGGCCCAGGGACCCAGCCTGGTTTGCAGGCCCCTAGGGACAGAGAAAGAGGGTTCATGTCAGCTGGCAGGTTTCAGAGCCATGGGGGGACAGCTGGTTTGGAACCGATAACTGCACTCCGTGCTTCTGGGTGAGGGATTTAGGACCTGAAGCCCCAGCAAGCTTGAAGCTGCTGCCCTCAGACCTGAGAGGAGTGGTTGGGATGGCTGGTGTTGGCAGAGGCCTTGGGGGGCTGGGGAGGGAGATGAGGCAGTGGGGGTGGGGGGGACGTTCAGAAGCCCAAGAAGGATGACAATCTGTGCACAAGCTCTAGCTTTCTCTTTGAAAGGGTTTACTTATTGCTAGAAAAAGATGTTCCAAAGGAAAATAATTTTAAGAGAGTTTTTGAAATGGTTATTTCAAGTTGAAGGAATTTGGTGTTCAGAAACGTTGCAGAGTCCGTGGGTGCACAGAAATCCCTTGCATGAGAGGAGGAGAATTAACAGATACTAGGATTCCAGAATCCTCCACCCCCGAGAGGGGGCCTCCAGAGGGGTCCTGGGCCCTGTGGCCACCCTCTGCTGCCTCTTCGGGGCTGACCCTGCCCCACCTGCCCCCAGGTGAGTATCGCTGTGGGCTGTGCCACACGCAACAGGACGGTGCCCTTCTGCAGCACTTTCGCAGCCTTCTTCACGCGGGCCTTCGACCAGATTCGAATGGCAGCCATCTCCGAGAGCAACATCAACCTCAGTGGCTCCCACTGTGGCGTGTCCATCGGTGAGTTCAGTCAGGGTGTTTATACCTACAATGTCCCCTGACTTGGATGAGGAGGGGTGAGGAGGGGGTTGGGGCCAGGATCTCGGTCCATATTTCAGCTTAGCCTTTCCCACACCCCAGGGGAAGACGGGCCCTCTCAGATGGCCCTGGAAGACCTGGCCATGTTCCGGTCGGTCCCCACGTCAACTGTCTTTTACCCAAGTGATGGAGTGTCTACGGAGAAGGCAGTGGAATTAGCAGCCAATACAAAGGTTGGTCACATGGCTATTCTTAGTCGTGCTGGCAGCTGGCTCTTCCCAAAGGGCAAGAGAGGAGGCCAGCATGGAGGAACATAGCTGGTCGCTGGCTGCTGCAGAGTGGTGGTTCCTGACCTTGCCCTTCATACTTGTGTAGCTTGTAGAAGGTAGAGCAGGAAAAACGAAATACACAGCGGCCCTTGCCAATGGACCTCGGCACTGTCCCCACTGAGAGTCCTGACAGCCTCTGCCAGTGTGGCAGCTGACACCTATTTGCCTTCTCTGAGTTAGATTCTCCAAGACAGGAGAAGAATGAGCTGAGCCACGTGGTCCAGATCAAGAGCCACAGCCGTAGGCCAAGTGCCCCATGGAGCCTGTTCCTCTGCTGAGGGCAGGGGCCTGCCTGAAGCACTCTGGGGAGGTGGCCCCACTGGAGCTGTCCCTGGGAAGACTCTGCCTTTGTGTGGCTGCCAGTCAGTGGGTGGCTCACAGCAGGAGTGTTTAGGGAGGTGGAGGCTGCTGAGGGCAGGCAAGTCCTTTTTCCCTGCTAGAGTAGACGAGATGGAGTGACTTACAGAGACACCTCATGGGGGCGACAGGGTGGAGGAGGCCTGCATGTGGGAAGGGGTGGCCTCTCTAGAAAGACTGCTTTCTGAGGTGGGGTGTGCTACCTCCTGTATTCCTCAGTTTATCTTTTCCGGTCCCAGGGCATCTGTTTCATCCGGACCAGCCGCCCCGAAAGTGCCATCATCTATAACAGCAATGAGGATTTCCAGGTCGGACAAGCCAAGGTCAGTGCAGTTCATGCCCCAGCGAGACCCTGCAGAACGGGCCCAGACCCTCCCTGTGGCAACCTCCAGCAGTGGTCCCCAGTCCCCAAGCTTCACTGGCCCCCTGTGTCACTCCCAGGTGGTCCTGAAGAGCAAGGATGACCAGGTGACCGTGATCGGGGCGGGGGTGACCCTGCACGAGGCCTTGGCTGCTGCCGAGCTGCTGAAGAAAGGTAAGAAAAGAGGGACCTGAAAAGTCATAGATGGAGTGCCAACAGCACGCTTGGTCTTGGGAGTGGGAGGGAATTCACCAAATCACACAATGGTAATACAAACTAAAGCCGCACTTTGAGTACCTGTGCCGTGCCCGGCGTGATGCTGAGTCTGAGTCCTGGGGCTGTGGTGGCCACAGTCCCTGCCCCATGGCCTTAGAGCATGGTGGTCAGATCAGAGGCCCTGGAGCCTGCGATGGGGCTGGAATCATGACACAGACACTAGTTAAGTAAGTTATTCGCCATCACCATATCTCAGTTTCCCCATCTGTAAAATGGAGATACTAGACCTTCCCCATGGGGCAGTCCTGAGGATTAAGTAAGATATTATTACTACTGCTGCTGCTGCGAGTTCGCAAACGTCAGCTATTGATGACATAGGGGAGACAGGCATTAGCTCCCAACAGAATCACCCAACAGATGTCATATCTCAGCATTGCTGTGCCACAAAGGAGAGGGCGAGCATGGCATCCTTAGGAAAGTGACCTCAGAGTGAATAGGAGCTGGTAAGCAAAGAGACGTGCAGACAGGAGTGGCATGTGCAGAGTTCAGGGGAGTTGGAGAGAGGCCGGAGCAGGAAGGGCTGGTGCAAGATGGGGCGGGAGAAGCCAGGGAAGCCCCAGGCAGGGTGAGTTCCAGGGGGTGGGCTTTCAGCGTGGCATGGCAGGCTTGGATTTGTCCTTTGAGAAGGTCATTCTGCTGGGTCTTCACCTAGCCCTCTAACACCCTTCTGCCTGCAGCTACATCTCCTCTCCCTCTCCCCATAAACCCTTGCCTTATCTCTGGCTTCCTTCCCCATTATCTTCAAAGGCATCGTGGGAAGGTGAGGGGAGGCTGTGCAGGATCCACACATGCCACTTGGTGTTCAGTGTTCTTGGACCGTCTGCAGGCCCCGCAGCTTGCTGAGCTCCCCTAGCCTAGGCAGTAAGGGAAAGGGGGGGGTTCTGGCAAGCACGAGCTCATCAGTGGGCACGAGAGGACAACTGGTTCTCCCCAGGACAGGGACAGGCATGCAAACTGAGCCCTTAGCTATGTGACTACTTCCAGGACATCCCCACCCTGGGCAGGGCAGACCCCTCAGCCATGCCCCTGTGTTCTCTCCTCTTACAGAGAAGATCAACATCCGCGTGCTGGACCCCTTCACCATCAAACCTCTGGACAGAAAGCTTATTCTTGAGAGTGCCCGGGCCACCAAGGGCAGAATCCTCACAGTGGAGGACCACTATTACGAAGGTAATGTGGGCCTGGGACATTTAGGCTGGGGGGGTGTCCACTTGATCTGAGCTCCAGAAGGGCAGCAGTGGCCCAGAAAACCCAGAGCTGTCCCTCAGAGCAGCTGGGACATGGCCTCTTACTAGGCCTCAGGCTTGGCATGGGGACCCACCTGCCCCTAACACCCAGGAAGCCAGCAAGGATTCCAACCTCACTGCTAGGAGTGGGATAGGCAGATTGAGTCCCAGAAGTAGCTTACGGTTGAGGCTGTTGTGCAGAATCAGACTGGGACAGCAGTGCTGAATTTGTCTTTTATGAGTCCCTCACAAAGCAGCCTCCACAAGTACACACCACCCCCTACTCCAAGGCCCCTGGGGAAAAGACAGGCTTAGGCTCGGGGGTCAAGTGCAGGTGATAGTCTGCTGGTGGCTGCCCAGAGGATGGTGTTAAAAAAAAAATTTAGAGTCCAGATTTTGGCTGATGTCAATAACCATTACTGTGATTGATTCGTGATGTCTGCTCTGGCTCCAGAGTAGAAGCTCCAGGTGGTATGTAAGCAATCTTTGCCACTCTTGAGAAGGGAATAAACTCAGACTGGCAAAGAGTGGCTCACCCTGAGCCCGTACCATCTGACTCACCTCCTTTCCTTTACCCAGGTGGCATAGGAGAGGCTGTGTCCACAGCAGTAGTGGGTGAGCCTGGCATCACTGTCACCCGCTTGGCTGTTGGCCAGGTACCGAGAAGTGGGAAGCCAGCTGAGCTGCTGAAGATGTTTGGCATCGACAAGGACACCATTGCACAAGCTGTGAGGGGCCTCATCGCCAAGGCCTAGGGAGGGCATGGAGTGCGAGGTGGGGATGCTACACATTCCTGAGAGATTCTGGCAAAGGTGCTCAAAGATGTACTGAGAGGAATGGTAAATAAACATGTTTTGAGAAAAATGAATCAGCCCCTGAAATGTCTTTTTTCTTTGATGTGGATGCAGCCACTGCTGGTTCTAGGGAAGAAGGGGGAGGGGACAGGGAGGCTGGCACCCTTGGCTCTGGGACAGGACCTGGGTGTCCCAAGGCTCTTCAGAATCACCTCCCCTGGGCCCAGAATCTGCCTTCAACCGCCAGAACTGCACTGCCTCCCAGGCACCACCAGGTGACAATCGATTGCAACCTACCTCTAGCCGAGTGGCTGAAACCCAAACCCCTCGCCTCCCCAGCCGGCCCTGAGGGAGGCTGGGGGTGCCTTGCGGTCTGGAAGCTGTTCAGGGTCCCTCAGGGCTGCCTCACCTCCCCCAGGGCCCCACATCCTTGTGGCCAGAGGTCTCCTGGGGTGGGGAGGGTCATTTGCCCATTGTCCCCCTCCTTCCTATGCCCTCTTAACCAGTAATCTCGGAGAAGCGAGGGAAAAAGGGCAGCCCCTGTCCTGGGGAAGAAGGGGACCCTCAGGCTGCCATCAGTACTGCAGGTGGGGGAGAAACAGGAAGGGCCGGCTCCCACCCAGCATCACAGACCAGAAGTCCTCAATCCCGAGTGTGCAAACTGCCCCCCTCAACTTGCCACTGGGGCCTGGGACTCTGCATTTGACAGCTGGCCCAGGAGCTTCTAGTATCACACTTGGAGAGCAGTGTAGGCCTAACCTCCAGCCCCTGCCTGCTCTGCTGCTCCCAGGTGGGTTCTCTCACTAGGCACCACAGCCTATTTCTCCCCTGCTGCTTGGGCCCAGCTGCAGTCAGCCCTGCTTGTAAGGCCAACTGTGTAGAACATTGTACTGGCCAAGGACAAACTAAAGTTGGGGAAAGAGGGCTGGGTGCCCCTGGCCACTGGTGGGGTCCACAAGAAATCCTCAAAATCCTTGGGCAGGATGAGACACATTTGTAGACATCTTCACTTGTCTTCCTGACACCTGGACAGAACGAACCAGTCAAACCCACAGTCAGGTAAGCAAACTGTCGCTCACTTACCTACAGATTTGGCTGTGCCAGGGGCTGTGGGTCTGCATTTGACTCAGCAGGGATGGGGTCTCAGAGAAGTGGCCTGGACTGGTGGGGTCTGTTCTCCACCCTTGGGCCAGGGCTTCTCAGCCTGCCAGCACTAGCTGGAGGCCATGTTAGCACTAGAAGCTGGGGACAGAGTTGGCCACCAGGAGGGTGTGGCCTCAGGCACTGCAGGAAGCCCACTGCCATGGGGAGAAGGAGAAGAACAGGCAAGCGCTCTTCCTGCCTGGATTATTATGCCACCTCTTAATCCAAAATAAAAACAGTAAACCATAAAAGTAGATTTAGGGAATCCACAAAGGTCCGCAAGCAGCAGCCCTGGGTGGGGAGCTGGAGTGGGCACCACCTGGTGGTCATCCCTGGTAATGCTTCTAACAGCCCTCAAGTGGAGCTGAGGTGGGGTGTGGGGAGGGGGTTGTCCCACTGGTCACAGTGCAGCAGCCAGCAGGAACAAAGGAGCAGGAGTGGGAGGTGAGGGTGACATTACTGAGCACCTCCTGCAAGACTGTGCTTTATGTGTACACATTTTATTTACTCCATTACACAGGATTATCCCCATTTTACAGATGAGATAACACTAAGCTCAGAAGAGATACCACTCAGCTCAGCACAGCGAGTAAGGGGTGGAGCTGGGATTGGAACCTGGATCTGTGTGACTCCAGAGATCCCAGCCTCTGCCCACTACTCCCCCTGGAACCCTCCCTCCCCCAAAAGGAGGTGTTGTACAGTAGGCTTCTTAATAAAAGGCCTTGGGCTTTGCAGGACAATGGCAGCAGCCTGGATGGAGCTCGGATCCTAAATTGGTCAGCAAAGTTGCTGTGGTCCCCAGAGGCTACAGGCCCATGCAAAGAAGTTTCTAGAAGCAAATGGGATAAGGGGACCACAGTTAGGGGCACAGCCCCAGGCCTGCAGTTTGGCTGTGGAGGGCCTGCTGAACCTGTCTACATTGGTTAGCTATGGACCCAAGGTCTTGGCACCACTGACTAGTCCAAAGCAGGGGGACAGGCTGGGCAGCTGCCCTCACCCCCAGCCTGCCTGACCTCTCCAAGGCCCATCCAGCTGGTGAAGGAAACAGCCTGGGCAGGCACTTGGGGCTTGGGCAGGATAAGAGGGAGTGGCAAGACTCCCAAGACCCTTGACCCAGTCACCTAGACCCAGTCCATCAAGGGCACAGGAGATGGACATTTAGGGATCCAGGAGCCATGATGACACCCTGAAACTGCTTCCTCTTTTTTTGCTGACAAGACCTAGTGTAGAAGGTGCTTAGTGCAGAAAACGCTCGGTGCGGACTATGCTGGAAGTTCAGTCACCAGGGCCCTCATGAGAGCCTGAGGAACCTGTCATTTCTCCCTCAGCTCCTGGTCAGGAAGAACGAGAAGCCAGGACAGAGCACCGAGGTGTCATATTTCCTTGGCCTGACTGGAGGCAGGTGTCATCTGACCTGTTAGCCAGGCCTTGTGGCCTAGGCAGCTGAGTAGCAGGTCAGCATGGCCTGAGGAGGGCCAAGGCTGCAGGTCAGCTGGGGCCCACAACAGCCTCAGATCAAGCCTTCACGATACCTGGGGAAGCCCCTGCTATGATTTGAATGTGGAAACTTAATCCCCAGTGCAGCAGTGCTGGGAGGTGGTGCCTAATGGCAGGTGTTTAGGCCATCAGAGCTCCACCCTATGAATGGATCAGTAACGTCATCGCAGGAGCAGGAGCCTGTGATAAAGGTGAGTTCAGCCCCTCTGGCTCCCTTTCTTGCTCTTGTGCTCTCTCTTGCCCTTCCACCTTCCACCATGGGACGACGCAGCAGGAAGGCCCTTGCCAGATGCTGGCACCTTGGTATCGGACTTCCCAGCCTCCAGAACCGTGAGAAATAAATTTCTTTATAAATTGCCCAGTCTGTGGTATTCTGTTATAGCAGCACAAAATGGACTAAGACAAGACACCCTCCCAGCCCAGCAGGCAGAGAGGGGAGGCAGAGGCCACTGTTCTTCACACCACGGCCTAGCCAGGAGATGTGACATGGCCACAGGGGTGGGGTGTGCTGCTGACACCACTCAAGTTGGGGCTGCAGCCAGCTGAGCCAGCTGAGCCAGCTGAGCCTGGGGCAGGCCGGGGTGGGCAGGGCCAGAGGCGCCTCACGAGGCTCCCCAAACCAAAACGCTCTAGAGTAACAGATCTGGGTCTGATCCTATCTCCACCACTCTCCACTCAGTGCACTGGGAGAGTATCTCCCCAAGCCTCAGATTCTTCATCTAAGTGGAAATAATTACAGGGCCTCATTGGGCTGCTGTGAGAATGAAACAGGAGACTTATTAGTACCATTGTACATCGCCAGGCAGATAAGGGCTCAGAAGAAGGTGCAATTCATAATAATTCATAGGCCAGGGCACCTGGCAAGGTGAGTGGCCTTTTGCACGTGCTCTGTTGACTACAGATGCTCAGGAAGCTGTGGCAGCCCAGGCTGGCGGTAGGGAGTCAGGCCCCGCATCAGCTGCAGTTGCCCAGCATGCTTTGCTGTTAGACTTTATCCTGATTGTCATTAACACAGCCCTGTTGTGTTGTTTGCTATCAGCTTTGTTGAAATACATAGAATTCACAAACCATACAATTCACTTATTCAAAGTGGTTTTTAGATGACTTGTGCAATCATCACTATAATCAATTCCAGAACATTTCCGTCATCTCCAAAAGGAAAACCTCTACCTTTTATCAGTCACGCCCATGGCTGAGATCCACACTGATGCCTCTTGCTGCACAGCTGGGATCACATCCGTCCCCTCTGCTCCCACCAAAGATCCCTTCCCTGGATGGGTGTCTTGTCCCCCTCAGGGAAGGGGAAGAGTTAGGAGAGCAAGGGGATGCCGGGCAGGTGTTCCAGCTGGGATTCCAGAACTCACTGACCCTCGGGGATCTGGGTTTTATGGATGTGTGTATTTGAAGTATGAATCACAGAAAGTGTAAAAAGCCTGGACAGGGTGATACAATAAGACAGTGTCAACCACAGGCTCCTCTCCCCACTCAAGTGGTGGCTCAGGGGACCCCCAAACTAGGTCTCCTGCCTCATTGTGTACTCCAGAGATAGGGGGTTACCAAGAAGTGGATCTAAGGCAAGAGGAGGAAAGTTGGGTACCCAGGTTGGACACCCAGAATCTGTATTTGCACTGGTTTTGGTGCTGACTTATTCTAGGTCAGGCACAGCCTTGTGAAGAGCGAGCCCTTTGGTCTAGCAGGCAAGGCAGGAAATGGCTGTACTGGGGGTCACGGGTCCTGTTGCTCCCCTACAGCATGAGCCTAACAGGAGCTGTCTTGATCCCAGCCCCTCTGGGAACTGGGACGAACAGTGTTGGGAGCAGGGAGGAGCCTAAAAGCCACCGAAGCCCCTGTCTTAGTTGGCTTGGGCTGCCATGATAAAATACCATAGACTGGTGCTTAAACAGTAGAAATTTATTTTTCATGGTCTGGAGGCTGGGCAGTCCAGAACCAAGGTGCTGCCTGTTCGATTCTGATGAGGCTCTCCTGGCTGCCGTCTCACTGCACCCTCACATGGCCTTTCCTCTGTGTGTGCCAGGGGATGAGTGGAGCCAGCCCTCTGGTGTCTCTTCTTGTAAGAACACTAATCCTATCAGATCAGGGCTCCACCCTTATGACTTTATTGAACCTCTTTATAGGTCCTATCTTTAATTACAGTCACATTGGGGGTTAGAGCTTCAACATATGAATTTGGGGACACAATTCAGTCCATAGCAGCCCCCAAATCTACCAAATTCATGGTTCACCTATCCTCTCCCAGGGGCACATTGTTCTGGATGTCGGAACATGAAGTTTAAGAGAAAAATGAAAATACCTGAGTTTTTTTTTTTTTTTAAGATGACCGGTAAGGGGATCTCAACCCTTGGCTTGATGTTGTCAACACCACACTCAGCCAGTGAGCCAACCGGCCATCCCTATATAGGATCCGAACCCGCGG